GACGAGACCGGCGTCGTTGACCTCTCAGAGGTCGCAGACAAGCCTGCTTACGTCATTCTTACTTTACATAGATTAATTTTAGCGGAAAATTTGAAATTTTTGATTCTTTAATCATACTTGCTGAACATTCTTAACATTTCGTAATCATTCATCATCAACCATCTAACATTTAAGAGATAAGCAACTGAAAGAAATAATTCATTAAGTATTAATTGTATATCGGCCAAAATAGCACCAATACAAAGTTTGAACCAAAACAGGAAAGAAACGCTAGTGGAACATGCTCCGCTAGCTCAACTCTAAAACTACGCTAGAATGTAAAACAGTAGCATCCTCGAAAGCATGAGGACCTACCAAACTCCGGATGAATACTGATGTCCGGATAGCTGCAACAACGAACCTGTAGCTCTAGCGTCCACCTGTGCCTGCACCTAAAAGTAGATGTTCGTATGGAATTAGTACACACTTGTACTAAGTATGAGTATATGCAAGTACACACCAGGGACATGCATGAGGAAGAATAGCTCTTTCCTAACAACATGATTTTTGGAAGTCAAGTCAGTGGACTTGCCAAATTGAGATTAGGAAAGTTATGCCATGAGAGTGACATGCATCATTATAATTATCGTATAGCACACAAAACATAACATATTCATATAACACATAACATATAACACATACTTTCTTTCATATTATTCATTCGTATACCATGAGACCTTATTATCATAGACTTAACTTTAAGACTTTCCAAAATGAGGGCTCAACATATGGGACCTCAACTAGGGAGCCTTCTTTAGCAAACACAGAGTCTGCTTCACTCATTCATTCGTATTTCATTTCAATTCATTCATAGGCCAGTGCGAACACCAGCTATACCTAGGATGTAGTTTAAGACTTTCATCGGGTTTGCTGTGCAATGATCAGGAATGACCTAATGTCATTACCTGAATCTAGCTCACCTCTTGATTATCCTATCCTAACACCTTCGGTATCATTCATTTCTTTATATGATTCATTTGAGGCTGGCCTCATTCATTCATTGGGAACTTTAACTTTAACCGACATAGATCATGTGAGCATCATGAAATCCAGTGTCTTCCCCACACCGAAAAGAGGTGGAATCACCGGCCAAAGCGATTCAATAACATGCTAGCGTATATGGGAATTTAACCCCGCCAGATCCCTATAGTGGCAATATAGGTTCAAAGACTAGGAGATGTATGGAGACCCATACCCGGCAAGCCGGACAGTCTCATCTCATGAGAATTACGTGAACCTCCGCCCTTCCCGAAAGAAGGCATCACCACTCATAGCTAGCCTATCGGTGCTCGGTATAAAGTTCCATTACATGCAACTCATACATCATAGAAGTTTGCTTCTAGTATGAAGACATCATAGCTCAATAGATGATTTCTCATCTCATCATTAGTATTAAGTGTTTTAAACTCAATATTTTTATTAGAGTATTCATAGAGACTGGTCTCTTCATTATCTTACACTCTCATTGGTGAGTATGTATCGGTAACATTTACTTAAGCTCATTTAAGATTGCTCTCATCATATGCATTAACCTCACATCATGATTGTCACCACATTCTTCATTTTATTACGTATATCTTAGGTTCACTTATTCTTGAACGTATGTTAGACTTATATATCTATACATACAAGCTTGAGGCTTCATTTATAGTTCGTTAAGTGAATTCTTGTTTTTCTAAGACTATGTATTACAAGACTTATGTATCTTGTATATATGCCAAGATCTTTGATTTTTGATCTAAGTAGATGACATTATTCTTGAATATTTCACTCACGTATGACTTATGTATCAATACGGAGGTTTGGACACGAGAACCCAAATTTTGAATTATTTGGATATCATTTATATTTTTCATTGATTTTAGTTCTAATATTCATAAATTTAGAACTCTAAGTTAAGTCTCAACATTTTCGTGAAATAATAAATTTTCTATTTTAATTAGAATTCTAAATTAAATTTCATTCATTTACATGAAAGAATAATTTTCTAATTTAATTAGAATTCCAATTTAAATCTCAATATTTACATAAAAGAATTAATATTCTATTTTTAATTAAAATTCTAAATTAAATCTCAATGTTTACATAAGAGAATTAATTTTCCAACTTTAATTAGAATTTTAATTTACTATTATTATTATTTTTAATTAAATTCGCTTGAATAGGGAGGTTGTGGGTTCGAACCCCCACAGCCCCCTTATTTTTCCTCTCATTTTCGCTGAAGAGGAGGCTGTGAGGTGGTGGGTTCGAACCCCCACAGCCCCTCTATTTTTTATTTTTATTTTTTTTAATTCTTTGACATCTAAAAATTTCCAGATTCTTTTTAAACCTATTTCTATGTTTTTGGAAATTTATTCCACTATTTTTCTGCACTTTTTCATCAAGTTTCACATTAGTTCTTAGGGAGATTTCATGGTTCATTCACTTCACTATGCTTCATCAAAATGAACATCACATTGCACATCCATTTCACACATAAAACACATGATAAATAAACAACTTATATACCCCAAAACAATGCCTAAAACACTGCCCTATACACACCCATACATCAACTTTTTCCGGTCATATTTTGATGATCATTATCGCGATTTCCCGCACATAAACACATTCATATTTAATTTAAACACATCATTCATGCAAAAATCTAACAGCACAACATACCCATCCTACAAATTCATTAGGGAGCTAAGGACAAGGATATACGAAGGGAAACAACCTTAGTTTCAAGAGTTTAAGAAACGTCCGAAAGAAAGTACTCTTGGAGAAAGAATTCCATGAGAGAAACTCATACCTTAATCGATGTTCAAACTTTAATGTTGCTGCCCGGAAAACTCCTCCAAACCACTCCCAATTCACTTCAAAGTATACCTCTCTTAGCCTTGACGTTTTGATTACTTTTTCTTTTGCTTAAAAAAATTTTTTTGTGAGTTCTTCAAGCATGAAAATTATTGATATTTTGGCAGAAATAATGTGAGGAAGATGGAGAACGTGAGAGAGGGAGTTTAGAAGCGTGAGAGAGAGAGGGCTAATTGGATTAGGAGACTAATTCAAGAATTAGTCAAATAACATTAAAATAAATAAATACAAATCTGTTTTATTTATTTACTTATTTATTCATTTAAAACGTGAAAGGACAATTATGCCCTTAAATACCTATTTATTCTTATTTACATAATTCTCTTTTTTTTTTTTTGAATCGTTACACTGTTTCAACAAAGCCCGCATCTTGATCTGCCATAAACTGAAATTGTTCCTCCCTGTGAATTTGTCGATTTTCACGTTCAAAGCAGACATCTTGAATTCTCCAAGAACACCGATTAACCGAGAGGCTCTGATACCAATTTGTTATGCGGAATTTGATATAATACGAGAAATATAAACGCGAAAAACAAGACAACAGATTTACGTGGTTCACCAATAAATTGGCTACGTCCACGGGAAGAGAGGGAGCAGTTTTATTATGAAGAGGTAAGAACAGAATTACAGAATAGGGTTTGTCATAGCGTCTATATATAGTGCTAAATTACGCCCTTACAGGCTTGGGCCCAAAATACAGAATTGACAGATAATTAAGGGCCCAATACAACAACATTGTAACGGGTCCGATTCAAGACATACAACAGGTACAATTTTAAGGCATAATAAGAAATGGAAGGGAAAAAAATAATAAAAACTAGCGAACAGAGTTGCCACTGCTAGTAAAGGTAATTTCCTGTGAATAGTGATGCCAGTGCATTCACTCATATCCAAATCCTCATTTTTCGTTCCTTTTCGTATGCTAAATTGAACTTGTGTACAATCTTTGCTAATGCTAGCTCTATTAAAATTAATTCCTGGGCAACCCCTCCTGCTAGCTCCGAACGGAATCAACTCAAAGTTTATTCCTCTGAAATCAATATTACTATTCAAAAATCTCTCAGGTCGGTACTCGTCTGGATCATCCCATGACAATGGGTATCTTCCGATTGCCCAAGCATTAATAAGGACTTAAGTTTTAGGAGGTATGTCATCGTCTAGTAATCTTACATTTTCCATTGATTCACGAGGAACTAGTAGTGGAACAGTGGATGAAGCCTGAGGAACTCTTTGATCACTGCTTTAAGATACTGCATATTCCCTAAGTCGTCCTTTGTTACCTCTGTTTTTCCTTGGACCAATTCCCACACTTCATAATGTAATATTTCCATGGCTCTTGGATGTCTCGAAAGCTCTGTCATTATCTACTCTAAAGTTGTATATATTGAATCCGTACGATATCTATCATTGAATCACACTCTTGCCTGATTTTTTCAATCATGTTTGACATTTCTTCTTCTCTAATATCATGATAAGATTGAATTCTTTTGTTGCTGAGAAGGTGAAGCACAGCAATGCTTCAATTTTTCTCCAGTATTCACCATACGGACTAAATGTCATGTCTGTAGAACCATAAAGGAGTCCATCAGCGATGCTTGATTTAAGTCTGTTTAACCATACGAGATCGTGGGTTTTCATGATATCACGAGCAACTTCAGCAGAAGAAACAACAATTACTGGCTTACTGCCCAAGTGAAGTAGCATGACTGGACTATATTTTTTGGACAATTAATTGAGAGAACGGTGAGGATATGAACCAAGCTGATGCAAATTTCCAATTATTGGGAGCTTTGTTGGAGATGGTGGTATATTTTTTTTATTATTATTGGAAGTAGTAAAGCAGTTATGAAGAAAGAAAATGAAAACAAACAGAGGAACAACAACAGAATACCAAGGAAGCTCCATTTTTATGTAGAAATATGGAGAAATTGGGAATTGAGGACAAATGTAATATATAGCCAGAAGCCTCGCCACATAAACAGAAGGAAACGATCACCCCGTAACAGATTATCTGTTATTTTTTTCTTGGCTCAGTATTGTTTCCCCGGATTAACATATCTTGCGATCGAGAATATAAAAGAGATATAATAAACACCATAGGGAAAAGGAGCCAACCAGTAAACTTATTACATAAGTGAATTCTGAAATTCTCTCGCACTGCCCTTTTCAATGGGTTTCAAAATACTAACTAAAAGTAGTTTACTACTTATTACATATATACTTATTTATATTTTATGTCATTATAAGAAATTGTAGGAAAAAAACTAAACACTGCACGGAGTTGCCACTGCTAGTAAAGGCAATTTCCTGCGAATGGAGATGCCAGTGCATTCACTCATATCCAAATCCTCTTTTTTTATTCCTTGTGGTAATGCAAAATTAAATTTGTTCACAAGCCTTGCTAATGTTAGCTCAATTATCACAATAGCAAAAGGAATTCCTGGGCAACCCCTCCTGCCAGCTCCGAACGGAATCAACTCAAAGTTTAGTCCTCTGAAATCAATATCACTATTCAAGAATCTTTCAGGCCGGTACTCCTCTGGTTCATCCCATGATAATGGGTCTCTTCCGATTGCCCAAATATTAACAAGGACTTGAGTTTTAGCAGGTATGTTATAGTCTAGTAATTTTACGTCTTCCATTGATTCTCGAGGAACTGGTATTGGAAACGGTGGATTAAGCCTGAGACTCTCTTTGATTACTGCTTTGAGATACAACATATTTCCTAAGTCGTCCTCTGTTATCTCTGCTTTCCCTTGGACTAATCCTCGCACTTCATTCTGTAATTTCTCCATGGCTCTTGGATTCCTCAAAAGCTCTATCATTATCCACTCTAAAGTTGTATATATTGAATCCACACCAGCAATAAACGAGTCCTTTGCATTAAATGAAAGACACACAATTAAGTACATACTTTAGCCGTGTTGGTAAACTAGATTGCCAAAGTGTACGGTTACTTAAGTTTCCCATTATGAAATTTTAAGTCCCGAGTTTTGAAATTTGAACTATGAATCAAAACATTAGCACGAATTATATCTAAGTGCTTAAAACAAAAAATTAAAACAAGATATGCCAAAAAGTGAATAAGTAATAGTAAGAGAGATGCTAAATTACCAAGAGAATAGCTTTCAATGAATCCCTTTGAAGCGGAAAGCCAGTTTCGTTTCCATTCTGAATTTCCAGCAAAACATCCACGAAATCTTTAGCCTCACCCGTACTGTTTTCTGCTTTTTTGTTTCTAACCACGCGTTCTTCAATCACGCTGTCTAAAAATGCATCCAAATCTTTAGCTACTTTCTTCACTCTGTTGTCAAGACCATTGATTTTATTGAGCCATTTAAGCCATGGAATATACTCCCCAATGTTAAAAGTACCTAAAAGTGCAAGAAGATCTTCTAATAGAGCCTTAACAGCTCTTCCACTTTCCCCTTCATTGTATGTCCTTCCTATTGTCACTCGGTTGATTATATTATTAGTCATACAACTTAAAACATCTCTCATATCTATCACTGAATTCGAAGAACTAGTACTCCTTTTCCTGATTTCATCAATCATGTTTGATACTTCTTCTTCTCTGATATCACGAAAAGATTGTACTCTTTTGTTGCTGAGAAGGTGAAGCACGATGACACTTCTAACTTGTCTCCAATATTCACTATAATTACTAAAGGCCACACCTTTGGATCCATAAAGGAGTCCATCAGCGATGCTAGATTTTGGTCTGGTTGACCATACGAGATCATGAGTTTTCAAGATATCGCGAGCAGCATCAACAGAGGAAGCAACCAGAACTGGTTTACTGCCCAAGTGAAGTAGCATGACTGGACCATATTTTTTCGATAGTTTATAGAGAGAACGGTGAGGATGCAACCCAAGTTGATACAAATTTCCTATGATTGGGAGCTTTCTTGGAGATGGTGGTAATTTTTTGTTACTCGTATTAAAAATGGTAAATAAGCAGTTATGAAGAAAGAAAAGGAAAACAATCAGAGGAACAACAACAGAATACCAAGGAAACTCCATTTTTTCTAAATTTAGTAATTAGGAGAAAATGGGAATTAAGTAAAGAGATATATTCAGATAAGCTTCACCACAGAAACTAAAGGAGACGATCACCACATAACAACTTTTTTTCCTTGCTTAATTATTGTATCCTTGGACCATTATTTGATAGTATCATGGAGTAAATTTTTATGAAGTTTACCAGTATTCCGTACGGATAATTCCACCAGTTAATTTGTGCCATGACTAAATAAAAAAAGGAAAATAATTCAAAAGTACTTTCAACTTTCATTTATTAGTTAAAATAAAATTATACTTAACCCCTACCGTTAACAAATTTATCAGCTGTACCCCTCATTAAATCAATGAAAATTGATCCGATTGACCCAACCTAGAATAATTTCTCATTTTACATAACAATTTTTTAAAAAAAATAAAATCATTTGAAGCTACTGCGCTGATAATTTCTGCAAATTGTGTTACCTCATGTATGATTCTTCATTTTATCAAGAATGCAGCAACCAAGAAATACTACAGGATAGGAGAAAAATAAAATGAAAAAAGCCCATCAATGAAATTTATCGGGAAAAAATGAAGTTTTGTGGGAGTAATAATTTTGTTGATTGGATTGACATTAACAAGGGAGATGTGGTGTGGTGTGGTGTGGCGTGGCTTCACAGTCATTGTTGAAGCAGCGGCTAAAACACAAAATGGACCAGATCTGGGCACTTTTAGACGAGCACGAAGGCTCTATAAATGGAGGAAAAAGAAAAATGGAGAGTGACATTGTGGTGGATGGCTGGCTAGCGCCGGAGCTAGAAGCAGACAATTGGAGAGAAGTTTTTTCTTTCTTCTTCAAATCAATAACAAACATAAATAAATAAATAACAAAAAACAAACAGTACTTCTTGTTGATGAAGTTTTATTATTTCATCAACGCAAAATGCATAACTATCCCTCAATATATGCCCGAAATTTTGGAGACACATTTATATTATATTAAGGTCTATTATTCCTTTGAACTTATTTTATAAATAATTTTCTATCCCTTTTCGGTCTACGTGACACTAGGTTGAAAAAAATGTCAACCAGTGTTGGGCCCGCAACATAGTGTCACGTAGGCCGAAAAATGGTAGAAAATTATTAATAAAATAAGTTCAGGGATAATAGGACGTTAGTATAGTATAAGTGTGTATCTAAGATTTCAGGCACAGATTACTTGTGCATTATCTCTTTCATTAATCATAGAATAAATTTCAATTAAAACAATAGGACAAGTGGGTTTCCTTTATTGTATTTTATTTTTTTTATTTTTAATATTAATAGAAGGAGTAAACTAAGAACATTTTTCGTAGTTGTCTGGACAACTATTGGAATTGAGTATACAACTATTGGAATAGTGTGGATAACTACTAAAATTATTTCGACAACTACTGAAGTTGTTGGCCAGCTAAAGAAGTTGTTGGACAACTATGACAGTTATTGAATTAAAAAGTATAAGTTAAAAGTTTGGAACTATTAAGAAAAATATCATTTAATCTAATTTATATCATTTGAAATCTCTACCTAATTTTTAAAACTTGAAGTACTTCCACCTAATTGAATAACTAGTTTGTCCCTTTTAATAGACATTTTGAATCTTATGTGTATTGAAAATTGTTCTTGGTGTAGTGATGGAAATGCTCATTGATGAAAGAAAGAACGTGTTAAATGATTAGGTGAGTCAAAAAAGAAATTAGGTAATTCAAGTTGAAATTAGGAATTTGAGGGAAATCATTAGTTTGAAGGAATGCATTGTGTTTTTTAACGTTAGAAATAAGAATAACTTTAGTTTAACTAAGATTAATGTCAACTAATAAATGAAAGTTTGAGAATGTTTTTTAACTCCTCCTCCAAACCTCACTACCACCTTACCAATTCTTGGTTGTTAAAGTGAGGTGGGTTACATATCTATATTGACATGTGATAGTTAAATATCAAACGGCAAGATGGGTTATTAAGGTTAGCGTATCAGAAAAGTAACATATATTTTTTTGGTTCTACATGTTCTATAGCTTGAAGTCTGTGGCATATTTATGTTACACGGTTTGATTTTTCAGCCACTAAATTAATAGAATTATTAGAAAATAAAGTCAATTTTCTTTAATTTGTTATAGAAAAATAATTTTATTTTTGCCATTTTACCTACAAAGTCGCTCACAATACTTGACTATTTTCACACCCACTTATCTAGAGTTATCTATTCTCTATCGATCTTGATGTCGAATTAAGTTATTTCAAGTTAGGGCAATGAATATTCTATTAGGACAAACTAAAGAGAAGTAATTTTCTTTCAATAATTTCAATTAACTGGATAGTTATCTCAGAAATCAACTATGTTATAAGCTAAACATATTAAAATAAGAAATTTATATTCTATAATATAAATCGAGATAAAAGAAAAGCATGTGGCAACTCCTGCCGAGAGGAAAGTATAAATGAAGAGAAAAAAAAGTCCTAATAATTAGTATCCAACTCCTCTGGTTTTGGTAATGAGAAATTGAACTTGTGCACGAGCCTTGCTAATGCTAGTTCGATTACCACAACAGCAAAAGCAATTCCTGGGCAGCCTCTTCTCCCTGCTTCAAAACGGAATCAACTCAAAGTTTAATTTTTTCAAATCAATATTACTATCTAAGAATCTCTCTGGATTTTCCCATGATAAAAGATCTCTTCCGATTGTCCAAGCATCAATAATAATTTGAGTTTTTGCAGGTATGTGATGCCAAGTAATTTGATGTCTTGTGTTGATTCTCGAGGAACTAGTAGTGGACCCGGTGGATGAAGCCTGAAAGTTTCTTTGATCACTGCTTTCAAATACTGCATGTATACTAAGTCATCCTCTGTTACCTCTGCTTCCCTTGGGCTAATCCTCTCATTTCATTATGTAATTTTTCCATGGCTTTTGGATGCCTCAAAAGCTTTATCATTATCCACTCTAAAGATGTATATGTTGTATCCGTACCACCGTAAAATATATCCTACGCATTAAAAAAGAAACAAACTAAAATTGTTGTGCTGGATTACGCGTAAATGACTAGGTGGAAGCATAATCAATAATATTCTATGTCACCAAATTTTTAACAATGAAACTATGTAGTACTCTCTCCGTCCGGTATTGTTTGTTATGTTGCGTTTTCGAAAGTTAATTTGACTAATTTTCAAAGTTAAATTAGATCAAAGTAATTCATATTTTAAACAAAAAAATTAAATATTTTAAAATTATATGAAAAGTACAATAAATTGCAACTTTTTTTGCATATTAATATGATGAATATCTTAAAATGTAGTCAAAATTTTTATAGTTTAACTCTAAAAGTAGAAATCATGACAAACAATACCGAACGAAGAGAGTAGTAAAAATACTTTGAAAGAAAAATTAAAACAAAACACGCCAAGGAGGGAATAAATAGGAGTATGAGAGATGATAACTTTCAATGAATCCCTTTGAAGAAGAAATCCAGTTCCCTTTCCATTCTAAATTTCCAACAAAACGTCTACAAAGTCTTTTGCTTCACCTGTACTGTTTTCTCCTCTGTTTTTCCTACTAACGTGTTCTTCAATCACACTCTCCAAAAATGTATCCAACTCTTAGCTACTTTCTCCACTTTGTTGTCCAAAACATTGATTTATTTGATCCATTCAAGCCATGGAATGTAATCCCCAATGCTAAAAGTGCCCAAAAGTTCACCAAATTCATTTAGAATGATCTTAGCATTCATCCCTCCTTGTCCTTCTTCATTTTATTTCCTTCCTAATTGATATTCTACACGACCTAATAATTTATTGATTTTAACTTTTCACCTAAGTGTGAAACAGGTTGTCTAACGTATTTAAATAAAGCTGTAAAGACAATAAGTCAAAACACAATATTTTTACGTGAAAAGACCCGACTCAAAAGGTGTAAAAACCACGACCTGTACCCTTACAGGATTTAACTCTAACTTCACTAAATCAACTACAAGCCTCCTCAGGAGATAAATTACAAACTTTGCAACCTACATTAACTTCAAGTTATGGATTTGGACTACAACTCTTGTAATCCTAGGAACTAACTCTAATTCCTAACCTTCAACACAAACCTCCCAAGGTAAGTGTTCCCAACTCTTCAAGTTATTACAACCTGAAAACAACACTCCAAATTCAATTTATAACTCACTAAAATAAAATTACATCAAAACTCATTCACAAAGAAAAAACTCCTAACACATAAACTCTGTAAAAGGATCAGGTTCTTCGATGTGTTCCTTCAGTTCGCTGGTAGCACTTGCAAAGTGAATATCTCAATTGCTCTTTTGCTTTGTAAGTGCACAAGTATTCTAACGATTTCACTTCTATTTAAGCACAATTTATCATAGAGTTATTATTCACTTCAAACTCATTATTGACTTGAACTCTCTGTTATTAGAATTTTCTACTTCAATTCAAACTCCTACCTTCTTTGGACTTTTTAATTAAATTACATATTGATTTTGTTGTATTGTAGTCGAACTCCAACACTTCAATTCAACAATAACTTTAAGAGTTCTACTTTAAGTGATACTCCTTTTTCAATTGAAATTACTTGCCTCTTTATACTCTTTTTTTCAAATCAAACTCATTGATTCTTTCTCTTTAACTTGGGGTTTCTCACGAAATTAACGTTATTTTATTCCTTTATTTCTGCACTCTTGTCTCTATTCATTTTAGAAGCTTTCTCGAATTCAACAGCTCGTGACAGTGTACCTTTGGACCATATTGACGGACATGTTTCTTCTTTCTTTGTCAATCATCAAAACTGCATAAATTCCAACACTAAGGCAACTCTGCTGACCATGTTATTGGTGAGAGAACATAAACAATCTCTTAAATCTATCACTGAGCTAGAAGAATTAGAATCACACACTTGTCTTATTTTTACAATCATATTCAATGTCTCTTCTTCTCTGATATCACGATAAGATTGGACTCTTTTGCTGCTGAGAAGGTGAAGCACCGTAACGCTTCTAATTTGTCTCCAGTATTCACCATACGGACTAAAGGCCACGTCTTTAGAGCCATAAAAGAGTTTATCAGTGATGCTAAATTTAGGTCTATTTGACCAAACGAGATCGTGAGTTTTCATGATATCACGAGCAGCATCGACAGAGGAAGCAATAAGAACTGGCTTACTGCCAAAGTGAAGTAGCATGACTGGACCATATTTTTTGGATACCTGATGGAGAGAACTGAGGAAGCGATCCAAGTTGATGGAGATTGCCTATGATTGGAAGCTTTGTTGGAGATGGTGGTAGCTTTTTTTTAATTATTTGAAGTAGAAAAGAAGCAGTGATGAAGGAAGAAAGTGAAGACAAAGAGAAGAAGTAGAAGAGCATACATAGTTACTTTGTTTTTATATCAACTAGGAAATGTAGAATTGAGTGTATAAATGGAAATAAGTAGCTATTATGAAAATATCTCCTGATTTTCAATTTGTGTATAAGATCTCACCACACAAACTAAAGGAGTCGATTGGTTTTCATGGTTGACTAGTACTCCAATTCTTAACAATAATTTTTTTAAGCTCACACAAAGATAACCATCGATCTTTAACCACAAATTCATTTGCATAAGATGCAGTTAACTTCAATACATATTTTTTGTCCTCTCCTTTTTCATACTTCTAAATGTTCAGTTACTTCCAAAAGGTCATTGAAAATATATAGCAATGTCACTAGGAACGTTAATGATAGGATTTTTTTGCCATTCAACTCTTTCTTTTTAGAGGGAAGCAATGGAAATTGTAGTGTAGAATAGCTCGAAAGTTTTTGGCTTATCAATTTTATCTG